ACACACACACACACACACACACACACACACACACACGCATACGCATGCATGCACACACATGCCCACACGCCAGGGCACTCACACTCCACAGCCCCTGCCCAGAATCTCTGCCCTTCAACTCCTCCCACCCTGACTGAGAGCCAGGCCCCAGGTTCCTAGAGAGGAAGGAGAAGCCACTGCAGGGAGAGGCTGTGAACCTGCCTTTCAGCTGCCACTTGGCCAAGTTGCTGGAGAACTCTTAGATCTGGTTGGTTGGCACAGTAATTTAATACCCTGTTGTGGGTTGGCCTGGGGACCTAACTCCAAATGTAAAAGTTATTTGAGTAACTGTGTGGCATTGTTTCCATGGAGAAAAGCTGTCTGAGCTCAAAGCAAAAGTGACCTCTAAGGACACTCCCTTCTGTGCTCTATGGGTGACCTCTGTGGTTTAGTACCAGCTGCAGGGAGAGCCCTGGCCAAACCTCAGCTCTGGGCCCAACCCTGCTGGGAATGGAGAGGGTGTTTCTGAGGCAGGGAAGAGGAGGTCTCTCTCAGGACTTGACTATAGACCTGGGAAGGCTGTCGCCCAAATCCCACCCAATGTGACACTAGGTAGATGAGATGATGTCCACACACACACACACACACACACACACACACACACACATGCACACGCACTCTTCAGTCCTCTTAAGGTCTAAGGAATGGGGAATACGTTGATGGGCAAAGGAGAAAAGATTTAGTGGTGTTGTAGGGACTGCATTGTTTTCAGTTGTTTGTTGAGACTGGGTGTCTATTTATAGCTCTGGCTGGCATGGAATTTGTGTAGACCAAGCTGGCTTTGAACTCAGAGTTCTACCTGTCTCTGCTTCCCAATGCTCAGATTTTAAGGGTGTGTGCCACCATGTCCCCAACCAGGGACTGGATTATTCAGATTATTTTGCAATGGTGAAGGCAACTTAAGTAGAAGACAGCACAGAAAGAAAGGCAGGACTGGGCACTCAGATGCAAGAGGGAGCTCCACCTGCTCTGTCTGCACCTGCACTGGGGTCTCCACCTGCTCTGTCTGCACCTGCACTGGGGTCTCCACCTGCTCTGTCTGCACCTGCACTGGGGTCTCCACCTGCTCTGTCTGCACCTGCCCTGAGGTCTCCACCTGCTCTGTGTGCATCTGCCCTGAGGTCTC